ACATGTGCACTGCTGAGGGGCACCCGCAGGTCTCAGAGAAGGAGTGCTGAGGCCTCCCTCTCTCCCTTCTGTAGCGCCTCATCCGGCCTCTGTCCCGGCCCCAAAGACTCTCCGTTTTCCATAATTGGCCACTGGCATGACCACACGGATAGTGGAAGGTAGAGTGAAGACCGGAGAGTAGGAGCTTCAGGCCTGGATGCCTCAGCACCACCTCTGGACCCAACATCCTGATGTTTAACGGTGCAGTGTGGGTACTCTCACTTGGGGGCCACCAGGCGGACGGTATTCTACTTTCTGCTCCCTCCCGTGGTGGTCCTGCCCAGGGCTGCTGTGAGTATACCTCCAGGGGGTGCCAATCACATGCATTCTGTTTCCTTCTGCCAGTCTACTTCCTATTCTTTCTCCCTGCCTCGCATGGGCGACACACCCACTTTGGAACCATCTGATCAGAAATAGGGACTCCAGATTCAGGGATGCAGAGCTTCATCTCACCTGGCCGAGAAGGCAGCGATCACCGATGCCACCCTGCAGAGCTGTCCTGTCCCCACCCACAGAACGGCACCAGCCTGGATGCCAAGATCTGGGGTCCATATGCCTGAGGCTCTTGAATGTCCAGAGGTGGTGCCTCTGCCATCTGACCTTTTCCTGGAAGGAGCTGGAGGGGCACCCGGTTGGTCCAAGGGAGGCCAGTGGCTTCAGTGGAGAGGTGGGCAGCAGAGAGCTCCCCCAGGCTGGCAGCACATGCAGGGAGAGCCAGGCTGCCAAACAGGCCAGGCCTATATGTGGCCCAGTTATCTCCCTCCTCCCCCCAAGTAGCAGTGAAGCACATGGTTCAAAGCTTAGGTTTTGGAGCTATTTGGCTTGGGTTCAAATGCCACTTCCACTATTTCCTTTCTGTTGGCAAGGCTTTTCCTCTAGGCGCTCCATCTCCTGCCTGCAGAATGGGTTTACCTCCTTGGGTTGTCATAAGGATTTGGTGAAATCACTCCCTGTGTGGCAGTCATTATTACTGCCTGGCTTTCTAGCATTTGCTCCCAGAGGCTTAAGCCTAAGCCCCTGCCTTCCCTTCCCTTTTTAGTTTTCTTACTGTTCCCTGGACCGGCCATTCAGGGGATGTGGAACCTCCTAGTGGCACCATCATGCTAGCCTCGAACCGTTGATTCAGTGGGGGATGTTTTTAACGTAGGGTGTACGTTTTCTTGGGGTGTCTGCATTGTCCCAAACAAAGCAGGGAGTGAGACCAGCTGGAACCGTGAGAGCCTTTTCATTCTGGCAACTCTATGACTTCATGAAATCCATATTACTGTCCTTGCAGGGCCACGAACCTGGCTCCACAGTCAGCCAGCACATCCTTGCTGGAGACCACAATGTTGTGTGCAGGCTCGGCAGTGCCATACCACCAGGGGGCGCTGCCTGGCTGGGCTCTCTTCCCACTTCTCAAGGAGGCAGAATGGGAAGCCCCAGGTTTGAAGCTCAGACTAGGGGGCTGTGGACAGGTAGACCCGACTTTGAAGGTCTGCCACCTGGCAGGCTGGGAATGGCAACAGGGGCTCTTCACATCACTTGGGCCCATGACAGGTTGCCTCCTGTTCCCCTAACTGCCATTCCATCTTATGACTAAGAGGATAATGCCCAGATAACGAGCCGGGGCTCAGAGAGGCGAAGGGGCTGCTTGCTGAAGGCCACACAACTGGTAAGTGGCAAAGCAGATTCCTCCTGGGCTGCCTGATGCCAACCCTGGGGCTGCAACATCTGACCAGCAGGAGAGGCCGAAAGGTAAGGGGGAAGAGCGTGCCCTGGAGACTGGAGCCGGGTCTGCATCCCACTCTACCTCCACCCAGCACGGCTGACCATCCCCCGCCCCCGCTTCCCCTCCTGAGACCCCATGGATGGATGGGATCTCAGGGAGCCCCTCCTCTTTTGGGTCAGTGGGTGAGGGGCTCGGGATAAGCATGAGAAGACCTCAATACTCAACCAAGATGTGATTTTCCTGGCACATAGCCTAGCCTCTTCAGGGATGATTTTCAGTCTTGCCAGAGACTTCCACACGCCCCTCACCCCCCACCCAGCCATGGACACCCAGCTTCCAATTGCACCCCAAGTCTTGGGCAGATGCTGGGCTAGATGGAGCCTGGGCACCTGTGCTAGGAAGTGAGACCACCTGGAGCCACAAGAGTGCTGAAGGCCACCATTCATTCTACTTCGTGCCCCTTGCTACCTGCAGCCTCGTTTAAGCCTCATGCCTGCCCTGTGAGGCACACTATTATCATCTCCATTTTACAGAGGGGGAAACTGAGGCTCGGAGAGTACCTGAGCAGGTGGAGAGGAGGCTTGGCTTCCTCCCATCTCTGCCGCTGGCTGGATGCATGAGGAGTGGGCAGGCTGGGGTCCTGGCCTCTGCTTGGGATCTGGAGAATGTAAAGGGCATGCGGGCTGGTTGTCTTTCAGCAACGGTATCCTGGGCACCGACCCTGGGGACCGACAGGAAGGAAACAGCAGGTCTTTCAGGAGCTACAAGCCCAGGAGCTCAGACAGGTCCCCACCTGATAAGTGGCAGCAATACCTGTGAGTGAGCATGTGCAGAGGCCAGCAGGGGCGACAGGGGGCTCTGGTGATCAGCCAAAGCTTACAGGGGGGCGGGGGATGAACTGTCACCAAACGGTGAGGAACAGTGTGCCCCGCAGAGGGGAGTGGGGGAGATCTTTGAGCAAAGGCCGTGAATGAGGGTCTCTGGCTGGGTAGGGAAGCAGCAGCAGAATGAGGGCTCCTCTCTGAGGCACACCCTTGGCCTTCAGGACATAAAGTGCAGGAAGACACTGCGTGTCCAGGGGAGGAGGGGCCTCGAGGAGCAAATGCACTGTGATGTTGGAACCCATCTCAGTGGAAAAAATGAGGTTTTGCATTTACTATCATCAGAAAACTGCCTGCCTCCTCCGTATGTGTCCCTGTGGGGATGAGGATGTGTGAGTGTCCGTTTGAAGCCTTACGTCGAAGTCCTTTTACATCCATGATCTCTTTTCGCTTGCCCAACTACCCTGAGAGGTTGGCGGGACAGAAATATTCTCAAGGACAGATGAGAAAACAGAACCCCAGTGGAATGAAATGTCTTGCCCAGGGTCATGGGGCTCAATGGTTGAAAAGCCAAGACCCACCTTGGGTTCCCAGTCCCAGCTCTATGCTCCTGGCCCCCGAGCCCTCTGCCCAGACCCCATCCTACCTCCCAGGATTCTGTATGCCACAGGCAGGCTTGGGACCCCCTGGAGCAGTGACCTTTGCCACTGCGTTGGTAGGTATCATAGTTTGCAAAGTAGGGATGAAGGTCCCCCTAAGGCATGCTCTGGTTCTCCCCTGGACTCTGGACGGTGTGTGAGCCCTGCATTTTCACAGGAAAACTGCCACCCGGTCTGGGGGTGGGAGGGCAGGGCTGACACCACAAAGATGAAGATCCCAGTGGCTGCAGAGGCCAGAGCCCAAGGCCAGGTCAAGGGTCCACCTTCTCTTCCCAAACTGCTTTGAACCACCACCACTGTGTTCAGGAGGAGCCGCCACAGAAGGGTGCCTGGAGGAGGGAAGCCCTGTATGGCTCCCTAGGGCAGCCTTGGGATGAGGGTCTTGGAGGGGAGCCTGCCAGTTTGACCTCGTCTTTCCAGGCTCTCCAGTGGAATGGCATGAAGCACTGAGGGCCTGGGGAGCTGTCTGGCCCAATAACAGCGGGCACTGCTCCGAGAGGTGTGCACATCCACGTTCAATGACGCCTCAGGAGCACCGGGAGGAAGGTCGCCTTGGAGGCACAGAGAGGCTCAGTAACTTGCCCAAGGTCACTCAGTTTGTAAGGAGCAGAGCTGGGTGTTGAACCCAGAAAACTTGCCTCTCAGAGCTAGTCTGCCTCTTACGAATAATATTCACCAAAGCTACCATTTGACTACTATCTACCTCCTTGGTGCCAGGTACTTAGTTCCTCGCAGCCAGGCAGTGACTTGGGCATTGACCTTCTCCACATTTCGTAGATGAGCAGATCCCGGCTTGGCAGCCGCTGGGGGCGAGGTAGCTGCAGATTCTCACAGATGCCAGGTCTGGTTAAATCCGAAGCTTGCACCCCGTTCGGCTTAGGAGGGCCTGTTTGACCTGCTGTGTGACTACAGGAAAGCACACTCCTTTTCAGAGCCTCAGTGTCCCTACCACCTAAGCCTTCTGCTCCCGGCCTTCTTGCTCCAGTAAGTGGCAGGCAGAGGTCGCGCTGCTGTGGGAGTGCGGGTCTCAGGACACTCCAGAGCCCTTCCCACCCCCACCAACCACCCCCTCGCCCCCACCCACTCCAGGAGAAGCTGCTGTTCCGTTTTTTCCTCCACGGGTTAGAGTTAGGGGGGAGGGGTGGACGGTGAGGTGCTAGGTGCGCAAGTTCCGTGCTGCATCCCCCAGAAGTCGAAGGGCAGGGTGGAGAAGGCCCAGCTCTGATCTGGGGAAGGGCCAAAGGGCCCCGAAACCACGTGCTCGGGCAGTTCTACCGAGCGCTAACCATCCTCTGGAACAGAGCAGCGCTCCCAAGTGGAGGAGGCAGTGGGCAGGGGGAGCCCGAAGAGGCCGATTCTGGGCCGATGGGTGGGGGGTGGGGGAGCCGGAAGGACCCGAACAAATGATGC